ACATCCATTCCTCACACATTTCATAGCTTTACATTGCATCATTCCATAAACTTTTTACATAGCTTTTTAGAGCCATTTCTTGAGGAATTGAGTGTGTTCTTGATCTAAATTAGTTTACTCATATTCTACTCTTTAAGAGAGTTTTTGTTCTTGAGTGGTTAAGTGTTGTGAACACTTTAAGGGAGGTTTGTTCCCTTGGTTGTACGAAGGAAGGGCATATTCCTTCGAGTTGAAGTCTTTGAGTGCGGTATCTCCGAGCAAGTGTATTGAGGCTCGTGGGACTCGAGTTCTCAGGTTGTAATGGTTTGTTAAGCACCCGTAAGCTTAACGGAAGTAGTGTAGCTCGAGAGAGTCTCTCGGGAGACTGGACTAGCCACACGTTGTGGTGAACCAGTATAAATCTTGGTGTGCTCTCTTTACGCTTTTTTACGCTCTTTACTTTTTACGTTCTTTATTTTATCCCTGTGATTTTTATTCCGCGAATATTTATAAACATTCTCGTGCCTCACTATTCACCCCCCCTCTAGTGAAGGGCACCTATTCTAACAATGGCTACATATATAGATGGTGGATCTAGAGAATCTTAACCATACAAGGTAACTAAATAAACCATAACACTAATAACCTAATATAATTATACTTCCTAATTATAATATAATTACCTAACCATAAATAATAAAACTACCTATAATAATGATAGTAATATAATAATAATGATAAATAACTAAATATAGTCCTGTATCACGTAGGTTACCTAGAAAAACTTTAGGGCTATGTTGTGAGAATTGAGATTGTGATATGACAATAGGTGTAGAGCCTCGTGGACTTAGTCAAGTGGCATTCGGGTAAAGATGTGTGTACATGGAATCTGAGATCTGATTTGTAGGATTGGAGGTTCCACCAAATCGGCGCCGTAGGTACCCAGTTGACCAGAATCATGGTCGTAGGTAGTGGTTTTGATCTCATGGAATAGTTTTTGAGTCATGGCCGTAGGTAGTGGCTCTAAGTCCTAATTAAGAGAAGAATGTGGATAATGAAAATTAGTCTTAGCCTAGTATAGGTTAGGAGCTAGTGTTTTGATATGCATTATGATAATGGCTTGAATGTTGTGATAATGACATGTGCAGGTGAAGAACCAAGGTAAGTAACATAATGTGTGAACTGTTGATATTGTTGATATTAATAACGATGTACTTGTGTGCATGGTATTGTATGAAGTTATGAGCTAGTGAGTTCGTCTGTATGCGTAGTTGAAACGTTAGATATTTCTCACTTAACTTCAATGATGAGCGTGTAGCCCTTTTTCCAAGTTGCTACACGTAGGTAATATGAATGATGAATAAGGGAACTATCCTGGATGGAAGCGAGGGCAGAGAGGTAGATGAGTGCTAGCTGGGGGAGTTATCTAGTTTAATTATTGCATTTGAATTTGTTGGAACACACTTTTTGTGAAGTTAAACTAAAATCGTGTTCATTTCCTGACAGGTTTTGATAATTGCTAAACCGCCATGGATATGAAGAGTTTTGTTGAATAACTCAAGGCGTGAAGTATGACATGGAACAAGACCAAAAGACTCAAGGACAAGATCAAGAATTGAAGACTTAGTCGAGTCGGTCTTTTGTGATCAAAACCGACAATCAATTCAAGTCTCGGTTCTCAAAGAGTCAAAATATTTTTACAAAATCATAATATGTTTTTATGCATCAAAATAAACATTTTTAATAAATCTTTATTGTGTTAAAATCCCTGGTCCTTGCCCAGACCAAAAACCACCTAGGTCGACGTACGACTTTCGGGGTTCGGTTTTGACGCCCGAACCAACTCAGTGGTTTTCATTATTTTAAACCTCGTTTTTACCTCTGGGCATATTTAAAAGGTTCCCAAATAATTATTTTATAAAAACCACTTTTGTATCTTGGTCAATCGATCTAACACATGAAAAACGGTCAAAACCGTACACACGTGATAAACGACCTTGAAGACTTGGTTTTTATCCAACAAGTCTTGGTTTCACTATTTTATACCGTATACAATGTTTTTCAAACTTGGTTTTTACTTTTGGGAGCACTTCGTTTTTGGACCTCGATTTTTCAAAATGGGTTTTCGCCGGCTGGATCTTAGCTGGTGATAATCGATTATCACCTTAGTGAAAATTGACTGTCAGCCTCTGTAGCTTCTGAACTTAAAGTTATGAAGCATCCAATAATCGATTGTCACTTCTGCAACAATCGATTATCACACTCTGCAGCCAAAACCCATGAACTTCTAAGAGGACCAATAGTCGATTGACACTAGTTGACAATTGATTATCTGGGTTACCGTTGTCCTCCAACAGATAGAATTTTAAATTTTTGGACAGGGAATCTTTTGATAATCGATTATCAAGCTTTGACAATCGACTATCACACGGTGTCTCTGAAAAATTTGTCTTCAACTTGTTGGAAATTTTAGCAACGGGTTTATCCCATTTTGGACTATAAAATGGCACCCAAATCCTCTCATTTTACACACAATTCTTCAACATTTCAATACTCTTTCATTGCATAAGTATTCCTAATTTTCTTAGCTTTTTGAGAGCCAATTCTTGAAGAAATTGCCATGTTCTTGAGCGTTTACTAGTTCACTCATATCTACTCTTTGTGAGAGTTTTATTCCTGAGTGTTTAAGTGTTTTCATACACTTTAAGGGAGGTTGTTCCCTTGTTGTAAACTCGAAGGAAGTACTTTGTTCCTTCGTGAAAAGTCTTGGAGTATGGTATCTCCGAGCGAAGGCGTTGAGGCTCGTGTGACTCGGGTTCTCAAGTTGTATCGGTTTGTTGATCACCCATAAGCTTAACGGAGTTAGTGTAGCTCGAGAGAGTCTCTCGGGAGGCTGGATTAGCCACACGTTGTGGTGAACCAGAATAAAATTCGGTGTGCTCCTTCTTTACGCTCTTTACTTTATCGCTCTCGTTTTTTAATTTCTTGCGATTTTGTTTTAAACGATATTCACCCCCCCCCCTCTAGCGTTGGGCCTTTATTCTAAAAGAATTAATTATGTTTTTAAGGGCAAGAACCCAATCTTGTATTGCGGTAAATGATCCTTTTCCATTTCTTTTGATAGGCATCTTTTAGTTCTCAATAAGTTTGTTAGTTTTGGTTGACTCCCCGATACCGGTCAAACTTCATGAGCCCGTGTAAGTACGATTCAAACCTTCTTCCAAGTCCAGCCCTCTTGCAGGCATACCCCTTATCCGGGGCCCCTCTTCCGGGTTTATCTTTTTTTATTTATACTGAGCAAGACCAGTGTAGTAACAAGCATATCAAATCCTGACATGTGTCTCAGTCTTCCACAATGTGCAGTTTTGCAATTTCCACACTATGGCCCATATATAGATTGAGATACCCAATGGTGACAATCAACAATACGATCTGCACCAAATGACCACTCATGGAAAAGGGGGGTGTATTTCGCTCAACAACACTAATAATTGAGATAAGTGTGTACCATCAATTAAATACCCCATGACCATTGTACATGACTTTGTTGCCATTTAGTGAGTAGGAGGAGTATCTTTTTATCTTTGGAAAGCATTCCCCACTTTATGCACTGTTCATTTCTAAGTGGGCCCATAAACACATGCCTCCATTGGGGGCCGTCGCTCAGCATCGTCGGAAATTGAGCCATCTCTTGTGTCTTGTGGTTGCGGACCGGGAGGTGGATTGTCCCTTACGAGCTGGGCTACCGGGTGAGACACGCCGCTCCTGGTAGCTCTCACCGCTGAAGTTTTCCGCCTGATTTGACCTGCAGGGAATCGAGGTTCAAATTATTCACCCTGGCACCATCGTGGCTTCGACGGTGAGAAATTGATTGAGAAGCAAAGTGGTACATGAAAGGCTGCTTCGATTTTCCGCTGGCGAAGTCGATTTCATACGCCGGAATTCCATCTATTGGGCGGGGTACGAGGGCGGTACAACTCTTTTTCTGCTCTGGCACCACCTCATCAGTGTCTTGTTGGTTGTGGTGGTGATTGCGGCGGTGGGGCTTCTGATCTCCGCCGCCAAACAAGTATTCTGATTCTTCCCGATCCATCCCTTTGAAATTATTTGGATTTGGGAGGAGCCATGACGCCGCCTCCTTCGTGTCGGGGTTATGGTTGTCAGAGGAGACGGAATCAGATCCGCTGCACAATTCCTCACTAGCCTAACAAACGTCTTCCTCTCGTCAGGAATTGTGGTGGCACTGCCAGCTGCTCTGGCTTCAATATGTTAGAACAAGATCGAGATTTTTTTTTTTTAAATAAGGGTAAAAATGGCAATGACGGATATCACTTTCTAGTCACGTAAATTTTTACGCTTTCCTAAAAGTTTACTATCTATCCTTATTATAGTAACCGAGTTACAAGATAGAACTTTTGGGATAAAAAGAAGGTGTGCAATGTATGTTGGTTACTTACAAAATAACATCAAACAAGTGATTTTGTGTATTGATAAGACTATAGACTCTCCTAATTAAAACTGCAGATATTAATGGAGAGACTAGGCAACAAGAAGAAATAGAACTGATCCGAAAATCAATACTCTCTATTCAACAAGGCTTGGGTATTTATAACCCATACACGTAACTATTCACCTTTTGTCCAAAGGTTGCATTTGTTAGTTTTGAACCAAATAGCCGCCACTATCCTTTTTAATCATTATGATTATTTAATTTGTTGATAATTATCAACAACTAACCCACGCTCCAACAAATTAAAACAAATTTTAAACTCAAATTTGTATTTAGGAGTTGCATGGCCAAATCATACTCACGTGTCCTTTACATAAGTTATTTAATATACTTATGTTTTCTTTTAAATATTATTTAATATAACTCCCCAACTTCTAATTAAAATAATATTGGAAAGAAACATGTTGAACATTTGAGCCATATTATCCAATAAATTTCCAACAATCCTCCTCCATTTATTGGAAAATATAATTTGCTCAATTCTTGCCAATTAGACTTACTTTCAAGACTTATGCATAATTTAAAGTATCATAACGATTGAACTTTAATTTAGTGCAATACACTTTACAATATTTCGGATTACAATAGTAGACTAAGCTTTGAACTACGTAACCTCTTTGAAACATTGAAGATATTACACACACAAGTCTTTACGCATATCACTTTAGAGACTTGACACTATTGACGGCCTTGTGTCCATATCCATTCATAAGCTCTAACAAGTCAAGCCTTTAAACTTGGTGAATCGGCCATATTCTTGCTTATACAGGTAGATCTTTTACTTTGTGTCGTGCAACAAAACACTTTATCAAAAGATCTATTAAGACATAGTCAACCTAACTTCTAATTGCAGAGACAAGCACTTACCTTGGGATGATATTATATATAAAGTGCTCAACATTGAACTCAAGATCTAGCGTTGTGTTAGACGTTGAGTTGTGCTTTCTTTCACTCGTGATTATTTTCAATAGGCTTTAGACCCATCCCTTTTGCAGTTTTGTACACCATGTCTCTTGGCATTGCCTTAGTAAAGGGATCTGCCAAGTTAACGGCGGATCGTACAAAATCAATCACAATAACTCCATAAGTTATCAATCCACGCACATATATGTGTCTCACTCCTATGTGTCTCGATTTTCCATTGTATAAATGGTTATAAGCTTTAGATAAAGCCGTTGCACTATCACAATGGACCGGTATCGGACTCATAGATTTAGGCCATATTGGGACTTCCATTAACAAGTTTTTTAGCCATTCTGCTTCCTTACAAGCCGATGCTAAAGCTATAAATTCTGAAGCCATTGTAGAATCTGTGACACAAATTTGTTTCTTAGATGCCCATGATATAGCACCTCCTCCAAGAAGAAATAACCATCCACTTGTAGATGTATAATCTTCTTGGTTACTTATCCAACTTGCATCCGAGTAACCTTCAATCACCGAAGGTTCACTCTTATAACATAAGCCAAAGCTCATAGTTTTCTTTAGATATTTCAGCACTCGTCTTAAGGCTTTCCAATGAGTTATACCAGGATTACTTGTAAACCTACTCAGCTTGCCCACCGCAAATGCAATATCAGGCCGGGTACTAGTCATCGCATACATTAAACACCCAATAACTCTAGCATATTCAAGTTGTGATACAGCTTTTCCACTATTTGGTACAAGTTTTACGCTAGGATCCATAGGAGTTGATACTGGAGAGCTATCTAGACTCCCAAATCTCTTTAATACTTTCTCGATGTAATGAGATTGTGTTAAAGTAACACTATCACAATGTTTTGTTATCCTAATGCCTAGGATAACTTCTGCGTCTCCCATATCTTTCATAGAGAATTTGGAACAGAGGAAAGCTTTAGTTTCTTCTATTTGCCTCAAATCAGTTCCAAATATCAACATGTCATCCACATATAAAGAAATTATGACTCCTTGACCTTGGTCATTAAATTTGCTATAAACACACTTATCTGACTGGTTCATTTTGAATCCATTGTTCAAAATCACTTCATCAAACCTTTCATGCCATTGCTTAGGTGCTTGTTTCAAGCCATACAAAGATTTAATAAGTCTGCAAACTTTCCTTTCTTGTCCTTTGACTACAAATCCTTCGGGTTGTTTCATGCATATACACCTCCTCCTCCAATTTACCATTTAGGAATGCCGTTTTAACATCCATTTGGTGAATTACAAGATTGTGAATAGCCGAAAGAGCAATTCACAATCGGATGGTAGTTATCCTTGCTACCAGTGCATATGTATCAAAGTAGTCGACACCATGTTGTTGTTTAAAGCCTTGAGCAACTAATCTGGCTTTAAACTTGTCAATAGTACCATCCACTTTCATTTTCCTTTTGAAAATCCATTTACAACCTATTGGTTTACAACCAGGCGGTAACTCACTTAGCACCCAGGTATTATTTCCCATAATTGAATCCATTTCATCGTTTATAGCCTCTTTCTAGAAGGCTGCATCATGAGACCCCATTGCTTCTTGAAATGATTTAGGATCTTCCTCAACACTATAACAATATAGTGTTTGAGTCACGACTAACTCATCCCTTGATCCTTCAATTAAGTACAATTGAAAATCGGGACCAAATGTCTTTTCTTTTCTAGCCCTTTTACTGCGTCTCAATTCTTGCTCATCATTGTCATTATGATCCCTATCCAACTCATGTTGTTTTGAACTACTTGAGTTAGGATCACAATCCTTTGGCCTTGGAATAGAAGTGAACCTTTTCTCATTAAAGAGAGCGTCTCTTGATTCGATAACACTATGGACTGCGATCGAGTCATTAGGTTCAATAACATGGAATCGATAAGATTTGCTATGTTCAGCATATCCAATAAATATGCACTCTATTCCTTTTTCACCTAAAGTTTTCCTTTTAGGTTCAGGTAATCTAAGAATTGCTCGACAACCCCATACCCTAAGATAACTTAGTTGAGGTTTCCTTTTATGCCAAAGTTCATAAGGGGCGATTCTATTTTTCTTGTTAGGAACTCTATTGAGAATATAACAAGCAGTTAACATAGCATCTCCCCAAAAACCATTACTCAGCCCTGAATTAGACAACATTGAATTAACCATTTCTTTTAATGTTCTATTCTTCCTTTCGGCTACGCCATTTTGTTGTGGCGTATAAGGGGCTGTTGTCTCGTGAATAACTCCAACAGATTCAAAATATTTAGGGTCGTAATATTCACCTCCTTTGTCGGTTCTAAGTCTCTTTAATTTCTGTCCAGTTTGCCATTCAACTTCAGTTTTAAAAATTCTGAATTTATCCATGGCTTCATCCTTAGAGTACAAAAGATATATATAACAGTATCTTGTACAATCATCAATAAAAGTGACAATGTATTTTTTATTTCCAAAGGAAAGAGTGCTATGGAAATAACATAAATAACTATGCACCAACTCTAGTTGGTTTGATTTTCTCTCAATGCTATGAAATGAATTTCTAGTAATTTTGTTTAACATGCAAGTTCTACACTTCTCTATATTCACATCAAAAGGAGGAATTAAACCCATTTTAGACATATCAAATATTCTGCGATAATTAACATGACATAGTCTATTGTGCCATAGAGAAGATTCACACATGTAAACATAATTATTAGTTTTATTCATTACATTTAGTTTGAACATACCCTTACAATAGAAACCTTGCCCTACAAATACACCACCCTTGGACAAGATAAACTTATTTGCTTCGAAAATAAGTTTAAACCCAAAGCTATTTAGGACTCCACCGGAATCAAGATTCTTCCTGATTTGTGGTACAAAGTATACATCATTTAATACCAATTTCTTTCCGGAAGTTAAACTTAACTCTACTTGGCCAATTCCTTGTATTTTAGTAGTAGAGTCATTTCCCATGTATAAGATTGGTCCATCTTCCAATTCTTTGTAGGTCTTGAAAGAAATTCTATCTTTGCATACATGCCTGGTTGCTCCGGTGTCGATCCACCAAGAATCATCTTCCTGTACAACACAAACTTCAGAAATCATAGCCACAAAAATCATGTTGTTGTTGTCAACATCATTCGTAACAGTGAAGATATTCTGACCTTGGTTGTCTTGGCCACCATTAGGGTGGCCACTCTCTTGCACTTTCTTCCTTTTCAATTCTGGGCAATCTCTTTTGAAATGTGGACCGCCACAATTCCAACAAGAGCCTTCCTTCATTGTTTTAGGCTTCTTCTTTAACTTAGAAGACTTGGCAATCTTTCCAGAACATTTTTTATTTTTTTTGTCCCACTTGATTCTCCCTCCTCCATGACATTTACCGAGGAAGTTGGAAGATCATTCTTTTTGGCATTTTCACCTTCGAGCTTTTTAATTCCATCTTCAACTTGAAGTCGATGACCAAGTTGCTCCAATGACAATACCGCCTTTTCACGTTTGAGATTATCTCGAACGTCTTTCCATGATGGTGGCAATTTGTCGATTATTGATCCAACGGCAAAGGTTTCACTCACATTCATGTTGTGAATGGTGAGTTGATCATACAAACGCTGAACCTCATGAAATTTTTCCATGACTGGCCTCATATCCACCATTTTGTAACTATTAAAGTTACTTATGAGGAAATTTTTATTCAAGGCATCCTCGGTCATGTACTTTAACTCTAGAGAATCCCATAGCGTTTTGGCATATTCAGCATTTTGATAAATGTCAAATAAGGGGTCGGACATACCGTTTAAAATGTGGCCGCGACATATATAGTCATTGTTGTCCCATTTGATCCAGCAACGCTTGGTTTGCAATGACTCGTTCTCATCATTCCCTTCTTCTTCTGGAGGCCTCGGGGTGCTCAGCACGTACACCACATTCAATGTGGTTAGTAGGAAATGCATCTTTTTCTGCCATCTCCAGAAATTAAGCCACACCTTCAAATTTTTCCAATTTTTGGAAATTGGCGTTGATATCTCGT